TATTATCAACTACTTTTTTTGCTTTATGTACTCTTGAATGAGAATATTCATAACTACGACAATGAATACTTGTATAGGCAGAATACAATCTATTAAATAATTTTAGATGCTTGTGCTAATAATTGTATGCTAGGCATTTCTTTATACATTAGTTGTATATTTGTGTCTATACGTAGTTATGCATGTACCCTAAAATTCATAATTAAACATATACGTATATTGTTCGCCTAATTCTAAGTGACAGAGTAAATGAAGTCATTGTTAAACTTAATCAAATAAATACATGATAGTGATTGAACAATGATCGATCTTCTTTTGCTTGTGCCAAGTATCTAATAGATTCGTTTATTCATTGCTATTTCATCATAAAATATAATACATATTGACTATTCAAGCAAAATCAAAAAAAAAATTAGCGATAAGAAAAGCTTTTTTTAAGAAAAACAAATAGAAAATCGTAACTTTGAGCAATTTATCATATGATGGTGTTAATAGTGTTGCTGCAGCTAAAAGAGAAAATTTTGTGTTAATAACAGAATTGAAGAACACAAGTACGATGGAGGATTATACTTTTGAACAGACATTGAATACAACATTCTTTAATTCTATAGAACAAGATTTTGAAAAGTAAGAGATCTATAAATACTAGCTTTAAATTTTTTCAACTCTTTTATAACAACTAGCAATTCTGAAAGAAAAAAGTTCATTATAAAAAATGATTTGTTTTCTTAAGAACCTGTAACATTTTTTATACCGAACTACTATGAAATTTTTAAGTTGTTGAGTTCTTTATAACCAAAGTTCACTATATCGAGAGTTATTCTTAGCTTTGGTGATAATTTGGTGATTACATATAGTTTTTCACTTAGCTTTATTGCTGTTGGTTAGTTTTATACTGCTGTAACTAATCAAAAAGATTTATTTGTCCTAATACCGATGAAAAAATCTTGGCTGCAATATAAAATTTTGCTATAAAGTGCTAGTTCAAGTAACTAATAAACCTAAATACTTTTTTTTCAAGTAACTCTACTATGGAGTTTGAGATGGTTTACAGTTCAGCTAAAGATCAGATCTTTAGTTTAGAAAATGAAAATAAGTAAATTTTTTTTTTTTAATAACTTTTATATTTTCTTTTTGTCGAACAATAGATTATTTTTAAGCAGTTTATGGAAGTTCGTTATAGAAAAGCCTGTTTTATCCAGAGTTCACTACAGAAAGTTTCTTTATCCGAAGTTAACTACAATTACTAATTTCTAAATTTTTTATTTTTTATTAATAAAATATCAAGTAATACTACTACGGAGTTCGGAGCAGTTTTCAACTTAGAAAATGAAAATAAGTAAGTTTTATTTAGTTAATTTTTTATAGTTTTTTATTTGTCTAATACTGAATTATTTTAAGCAGTTCACAAGACTCTTTTAGTGATACTGAATTATAATAAAGCCTCCCATAATTATATGATAGTCTTATATTTGATTCATAGAACAATATAGATAATTTTTTGGAATCATATGGAAAAAGTAAAGGTTTTTCTTTTTGACGAAGTAGGACTGATTTTTATTCTGACTATACAAGTATTCATTGTCGTAGTTATGAATATTCTCATTCAAGAGTACATAAAGCAAAAAAAGTAGTTGATAATA